AAAATACAGAGGGCAGGCAACTCCTGATGACCTACTTTTCCTCCCAGAGTTACTCCGACATCAGGGCTAAGCTTAAATGCTTGGAGAGAGGACCTCTGACTCCACAGGCAGAAGTCTTAGTGCTGGCCTTTAAGGTGTACCATGGGAGGGATGAGAAAGCCTGCAAGCAAAAATACCAAATGCTGGCCAAGGCCATCTGACCAGCCTCAGCCACTACCCAGGCTCCCTTGCCTCCTAATGCACGAGGACCACAGGGTCCCTGTTTCAAATGTGGTCAAGAAGGTCACTGGGCCTGGTTTTGTCCTAACCCCTACAAGGCACCAGGGCCATGTCCAAAATGCCACCAAGAGAGATGTTGGGGTGTTGACTGCAACCTTTTCTCCCATGATATGGGGGCATACCAGATCGTCCTCTGGCTGATATCCTAGGCCTGGCTACGGACGAATGAAGGTGCCCGGGTTCCCTTGACCTACCACTGCCATGACTAGCAGGGAGCCACGGGCAATTATCATGGTATCAGAGCAGTCCATCTCCTTCCTTGTGGACACTGGAGCCACTTACTCGGTCCTGACGGAGTACTGGGGACCAACCTCTCCTTCTAGTTCCCCTATTGTTAGGGTAGAGGGATAGCCTTGCCAGACTCCACCACTCAGTTGTATTTTTAGGGGTGTTTCCTTGACTCGTTCCTTTTTAATGATGACAACCTGTCTAGTTCCCTTACTGGGAAGGGACATTTTAGGCAAAGTGGGAGCCTCTATCTCCTTTACTCCACCCATTTGCCTGACCCCGAGCTCACAAGCTTCCTCTCTCCTCCTTCTCCTAGCTACCCTACCTACCAGTTTCGACACATCACTTCCTTTATCAGCCTCTCAAGTGGACCCCCAAGGCTTGGATGCCACGTAACTTTAATGCACAACCCTAACAGCCCTGGAACTCCCTCTGTAGACCAGGCTGACCTCAGAGATCCACCTGCCTCTGCCTCCCGAGTGCTGGGGTGAAGCCAGGCATGCTGCCCGGCTTCAGTCGGTCCTTTTGAGCTTGTGCCTCTGAGCTCAGACTCAGAGCCTTGCACTCGCTCAGCAAGCACGCTGTTCACCACATCCCAGCCTCTGGAGCCTTTAGAGGCCCCTTATCAGGGTCTCGACACATTACACACTGTTTCTGGACATGCTGTAATCATAGAAGGAAATGGTCGCCATCATTTACTAAACAGTGTCCGTTTGCCTGTGTACTATAAGGAACCAACTTGGAAGCCTGATTAAGATGGGGCTAGAGGAACGGATAAGAAATTAAAGAAACAAATAATATGTAGCAACACTCAACATCAAAAGTTTAAAAACATACACTTAGTTAGATAAAAAGCTACAAACTGCTCCTTTTATTTACCAGATGAGGTTTCTCTGTGTAGCCCAGTCTATCCTGGAACTCACTTTGTAGACCAGGCTAGCCCCAAACTCAGAAATCTGCCTGCCTCTGCCTCCAGAGCACTGGAATTAAAGGCATGCATGACCTTACCTGGCTACAGCCTGCACTTTTTAAAAAGTAAGTTTCTTTGCAAGAATCTTTTCAGTGGGCCAGAGAGATAGCTCAGTGCTTAAAAGTGTATGCTGCTCTGGCAAAGGAAAGGAGTTCTGTTCTAGCTCCTGTGTCACGTGGCTTACAATTGCCTTAAATACCTGCTCTGGGGCATTGGATGCCCCTCCTGGGCTACCACAGCCACCCACACACAGTGTGCCCCTACACAGGAAATAGGGTCTCATCAGCCTGTACAGTTTTTACGCTTGAATTTCATCTTAGCAAAACAATGTTTGGAGAGCAAATGCCTTCACACACACACACACACACACACACACACACACACACACACACACAC